GTGCGGCACTTGAAGCATTTAACATGCCTTAGCCTCTCTTCTTCTTTCTTCAACTTGAGATTTTCTTCATTTGGGCAACTATTTGCAAGATGTCCCACATCATGGCACTTGAAGCACATGAAATGAGAGAGCTTCTCTTGTTCTTGCTTCTTCATCTCTCTTTCATATCTTCTCTTGCCCCATCTTTTGCCCTTGATCTTGCTATTGTTGAAGCCAATGCCACTTATGTTATTGCGGCTTTCTTGATGATTGACTTTGCTAGTCTTGAAGCCGACTCCACTCTTGTCACCAAAGTTTCTTTGAGTCTTCAACATATGCTCAAAGGTGACTTGAGAGTTGTAGCACCTCTCTAACTTGTTGCTCAATTTCTTCACATCATTTTTGAGCTCAATGTTCTTCAAAATGTTAGTCTCACAAGACATAGAAGTAGAACAAGCATCAATGTGTGAAGAGCATGGCATATCTAACAAATCATCACAAGAGTTGGATACATGCTTCTTCTCTACATCACAAGGGTTAGCAACATTTTGCAATTGATCGTTTGATCCATGTGATGAGCTATCATTCTTTTTAAGTTTCTTTGTAAACACTTTAATGAGAGAAGCATGTTGTTCTATTAATTCATCATGAGATGCAAGTAGTGTCTCATGATTCAATTTAATCTCATCAAGTGAAGATTTATAAGTATCAAGTAATTTCTTATGTTCTTCACAAGAGTTCTTTAGAAATGAGTTTTCATTTTCTAATGTCAATGTTTTAGCTTTATCATTTTCTAAAGACATGGTCATGCTAGCAAGTCTACTAACAAGCTCATCATAAGAATCAACATGATCAACCACACTATCATTTGATACCTTGGTGTCACCTTGTGACATGAAGCAATGTGGTGATGTAGATGGAGAGCTTGTAGTAGCATTATCATCATGGCTCGAGCATGAATCATCATCACCATCAAGTGTGCATGGGGTAGCATCATCACTTGCAACACTTGTGGCATCATCATCAACCTTGTCAAGTGAACTTGTAGTGGATTGATTATTATCATCCTCACTTGACAATGAGGTGGAGCAATCTTCCACAATCACCGAATTGTGGTTATGCTCAACACACTCATGTGTCTCCTTCTTGGGCTCATCCTCATTTTTGAATTTACCATCATCCCATATGGAGGAATCACTGAAGGTGTCCTTGATGGAGTCCCATATCTCACGAGCGGTCCCCTTGTAGTTTACTTGCTTCATCAAATCAAAGTGTAAAGCATCCAATAGAAAACAACAAGCATGTGCATCAAATTCATAGAGGACTCTTTGAGCTTTGGTTAGAGTTCTATGATCCAAGATATGGGTGAGACCACTAGTGACAACCCACCAAAATTTATGTCCCTTTGCACAAAAATGATCAAGCATGTGATTTTTCCAAGGTGTAAAGTTTGTGCCATCAAAAATGTGATTCTCACAACCATCTAGCCCATTAGGTGCCATCCTCTCGGGACGGTGAAGACCACAAATGAGAGACCGGACTCCGATACCACTTGAAAGGTCGAGATGGTGACTAGAGGGGGGGTGAATAGTCCTTTCTAAAACTTAATCGTGTCGGCTAACCGAAACAAGTGCGGAATTAAAACTATCGGTCTAGCCAAGACTACACCCATCTATCTATGTTCTTTAGCATCTTTCAAATATACTAATTAAGCAATTAAGGTGCCGGGCTAGCTAGAGCTCACCTAAGCAATTCTAGGAGCAAGGTCACATAAACCTATGCCACTAGTACTTTAAGCGATAAGGGAGCTCCTACACATACTAGTAAGTAAAAGCACAAAGCCACCTAAGCTCACTAGCAATGCTCAATAACAAGGCAACCAATGCCAAATTAGAGAGCGCAAATACTTAGCTACACAAACTAAGCAATGTGACTAACAAGGTTACTCAAACAAAATTAGCCACGCAAGGGAGCTACTTCTATGCTACACAAGCAAGAAGGTAACTAATATGCTACACAAGCAAACTAATTACAAGAGTAACTACACAAGCTTAATATATATGAAAGTAAATGCAAGCTTGTGTAATGGGGAAGCAAACCAACGGGAAGAATAACGTTGACACGATGATTTTTCTCCCGAGGTTCACGTGTTTGCCAACACGCTAGTCCTCATTGTGTCGACCGCTCACTTGGTGGTTCGGCGGCTAATTAGCATCACCCGCTAAGCCCGCACGTCGGGCGCCAAGAAGAACCTACCCCTTGAGTGAGGGTAGCTCAATGACACGCTTTACTAAAGTTGCTCTTTCGTGGCTTGGGCGAGCACAATGCCCCTCACAAAGCTCTTCTTCTCCTGAGCCCAAGACAAGCTTCTTGCGGGCTTCGACGAAGACCACCACCAAGCCGTTTAGGAGGTGGCAACCTCCAAGAGTAACAAGCACCACCGGCTTGCAACTCGATCATCTAGTGCCACTCGATGCAACCTCACAATGCAATCGCACTAGAATCGCTCACTCACACAATCGAATGATCACTATCAAGTATATGTGTGATGGAGGGCTCCCAAGCACTCACAAGCATGGACACTAAGTCCCCTCAGGTGCTCAACTCCAGCCATGACCGAGGGCCTCTTCTATTTATAGCCCTAGGGGCTAAACTATTGCTACTCCCGGCACCGGGCTTTTGGACATGACCGGACCGACCGGACGCGAGATCTTTGGGATCGACGACGGATGTGCATATCGGACGCGCGTCCGGTCGCTATACCAGACGTGTCCGGTAGTGCCTGACCGCCACATGTCCCATTCAAGCTAGCCATTGCCACAACGGCTCTCTGACATGTCCGGCCGGACGCTCACACCGGACGCAGAAGCAGACATGATCGGACGCAGAGCCGCTGCGTCCGGTCGAGTCCAGTAAGCACCCAGGTCCGACCGGACACGTCTGGTCGACCGTTCACAGAACTTCGACCATGCAGATTCACACCGGACACGTCCGGTGTGGCGACCGGACGCGTCCGGTCGCTGAGTTCGTCTGTTAATACCGGACGTGTCCGGTCACTTTCTGACCAGCGCGACTCACTCCTTTTCTTCGCCAAGTTGATCCACATCAACTCCAACATCATCTCCTATGTAAATGTGCCAACCCCACCAAGTATACACCACCATGTGTATGTGTGTTAGCATTTTCATAATCATTTCCCAAAAGATGTTAGCCACTCAACTTACCACGCCACTCGATCCTAGCGACGATGCAAAGTTAGATCACTCGAGTGGCACTAGATGACCGATATGCAAACAAGTTTGCTCCTTTTGATAGTACGACCATCTATCCTAAACCCGGTCATAAACTTCTCTACACACCTATGATCGGTGAAATGAAATGCACTAGGTTATACCTTTGCCTTGCGCATTTAATTCCATCTCCTCCAACGTCGATGCAACACATGCACCAACATGATCAACAATGATATGATCTACTTCATATCATCACGTGATCATATTGGTTCATCGATCTTGACTTCACTTGCTCTTCACCGTTGTCATCGTCCATCGGCGCCAAGTCTTGCTCAAGCTTCATCGCCACGTGGTCCATCACTCCAAAGCCTCCGACTTGCCCTTCATGCTTGCAACCGGTCCATCAAGCTAAGTCTTGTCTTGATCTTCTCCACCTTGATCACATGACTCAATGTCATGTCTTACGTGCAATAAGCTCCTTCATCATCACATGTGTGAGCTTTACAACATCTTCAAGCCATTTTCACCTTCATGGCATATGTTGCTCACACACATATACTTGTGGACTAATCACCTGTGTATCTCACATAAATATAATTAGTCCACCTAAGTTGTCACTCAATTACCAAAACCAAACAAGGACCTTTCAGCAGCGCCCTGAACGATAGCTTCTCCGGCAGGCGGAGCGGCGACAGGAGGACGTGCATCCGGCCGATTGAGGGCCCAAGCAAGTTCATGTAGGCCGCTGTCGGTGTCCCTCTCCACGACGTCATTTGGCTCCGCTTCCTTGAGAAGAAGCAATGGAAGCAGCAACTGCAAATACTTCAGCCCCCGACGGCGGAGCTCGCGGGTGCGGCTAACGTGGAGGCCAGAGCTCGCAGCCGAGTCAGGAGCAGCCATGGTGGGCAGCCAAAGAAGGTCGATCGGGCACGAGTGCAAATGCGGAGAAGACAGGCAGAGCACAAATGCGGTCAGGGGAAAAAAGATTAGGGCATTTTGATAACCGATCACTTTTAACTACTTTTAGTTTGGGCTGTTTGGATCCACCATAGCTAATTTTAGCCGGCTAAAGTTTAGCCAAGACTTAGGAAGGAATTTCCCTATACTCCCTCCGTTCTAATAATTGTCGTTCTCGCTTTCAAAAAGTTAAACGCTTTTAACTTCGATCAAATTAAAAAAGATATTTATAGCACATATTCAATATTATTATTAGATAGATCATTGAGTTTATTTTTATAATAAACTAATTTAAAGATATAAATATTGCTAATAATATTTATATAAATATAGTCAAATTCAAATTCGAGAAAGTTTGATCAGCGTAAATATGGTAGCGATAATTATTTTGAGACGGAAAGTGTATATATATATATACAAACATCAAGCGTCATCGGCTCACGTGACCCAGGCGATTTCCTAATATACGACGTGGTCGATCACACGATCTTGTCACCATTCTACGTTTAGAACATACATAACAGAACAATAATAATAATAACTACACCAACAAAATCACACTCACGTGCGGCTACCGTCCATGACCACTGGACCCCTCCCTCCTCTTTCCTCCAAATCCCCGAAAGGCCGAAACAATCCTTGCATTAACAGCAGGGAGCGCTGCAACTCGCCACTTGCAGTTTCGAGATCTGCGCCGCTGTTGCTGTCCCCTCTCCCCCCATCCCCTCCTTCCAGACCCTTCGCTTCCTTCCGCTCACCCACGCGGACGCCGGCGCCCCCCTCCCTGACTGCTCCCCTCGCGTCTCCTCGATCCTTCGGGTGTAGGGGAGCATGCGGAAGAAGGGGCGGGCGGTGCCGGAGTGGCTCAACAGTCCAATTTGGTCCGCGACCCCGCCCGCGCCCGCCCCGCCGGACCCCTACGGCGTCGACCTTGCCCCGCCGCCGCCCCTAAAGCCGCCGCCGCCAGCTGTTGCCCCTCCCGTACCTCCGCCGCCGTCGTACGAGCAGGCCGTAGGGGCGGGTGGTGGCCGAGGGGATGAGGAGGACGAGGGCGCCGGGGCGGTGATACGGGCGCAGCTGCTCTCCGACTTCAAGGCCGCGGTGCGTGCAGGAAAAGCGGGGTGTTGGTTATCGCTTGGATTCTCACTAAGCTTTTCCTGTTTGATTGACTCTCTTGTGGGTGCGTGCAGCTGTCGAAGAAGGTGGTGAACATGGGAGAGCTGCGGCGCTTAGCCTGCCTCGGCGTTCCCGACGGCGGTGGTGGTGTCCGACCTGTTGTCTGGAAGGTCCCCACTCAGCATTCTCTTCTGATTGTATTGCGAATTTTGGTTGATAGTTCGGAGTTCTGCATTTCCTAGTTGCGCCGCAAGGGTTTAGCGATGATATTTGATTGGGGTCTTATTTTACAGAGATCTCTATTTTACAAATTTAGTAATTATTAGTATGAATACGAATTGTTCATAGTACCGTTAACACGGGTGTCCTGTGTTAGTGAGCCAATGTCCTTTGTGCACTGCTTTAGACTGTAATTTGATGGTGAGAGATTGAGCTGGTGAGGTAAATGAGGAAGGAGAAAGGTTCACAGCTCGAACTGTTGGTCATTTTTTTCATTCTGCATAGCTGACTTATGTCTGTCGTCAAGTTTTTTTGGTTGAATTGAGACATGGAGATAGAGTTACAAAGTGTGTAGTTTCTTAAGGTCACAAGAGCGTAGGGATCTGCAGGGCTGGTGGTTGTTTGGTAAATGGGGAATGAAAATTTGTGTAAGAAATATACCTTGAAAAGGTTTCATGGCCTTTTTCAGTGGAAGTGAAAACCACCAAAATTCTCAATAAACTGTCTTATTTTTTTACCCTCCTGGGCTATATCTTATATTCAATCTTGTCCTGTGTTTGATTACCATCAGTGTCCATTTGATGTTCTAATTCTGATAGGTGTGGGTTTACCATGGCTTGCATTCCACATTGACCCCAATTTATGTTTCATGCATTGTTTTGTGAACCGTCATGATTAAGCATGCACTCTAGGAGCTTCTGGCAGTATGTCTGTACAATTTACATCAATTTTTGTTATCTAATTACTCTCTACATGAGATATTTATTCTACTATATTTATAGTGTGCAGCTTCTTTTGGGGTATTTGCCAACTGATCGTTCCTTGTGGGCTTATGAGTTAGAAAAGAAGTGGAGTCAATATAGTGCATACAAAGAAGAGTTTCTTCTAAATCCTGTAAGTTTCAGTTGCTAGTCTCCAACTCAATGAGTGAAGATCTAAATCCTATTTATCTTTGTATATATAATATGAGGACAATATCTAGAGTTGCTAGGAAAACCTGTTTCTTGTTCCATAGGACAATGTTGTGTGGTTGTTTTACCTGGAAATAAATCAAGAATGTGCCCCAAAAAATGAGAAGTCAATTGGCAATGCAGTAGCAATGATAGTTAAAATGTTGAGTAGCTCTCAGCATTTGCCATGGTGTCACTTTTAAAGTTCTAAGATAAGAGAGATACCAGGCAACACAGCTAGTTCTTCCGAGCCTTAAATCATATTATTTGGTGGTGTTTACCACTGCTGTTTGGTATAGTCCTGAACTTTTTTCTGTGATTGGTTCTTCTAAGGGCACATAAATTGTTCAATTGTTAATGTGAGAGTTCTGACAGTCCTTTATGTGGTCAGTCAGAAAAACTACGAAGGATGGAGGAAACAAAGCTGTCGAGAAAGAAAGAATTAAATATTGAGAGGATTGGCTTTCTTCCGAGATTAGAAGTTACTAATGAAGAGCATCCTTTAAGCTCTGGTAAATCTAGCTTGTGGAATCAATATTTTCAGGTACTATTTCTTTAGCTCTGCCAACTTTGTGCTACTTGAAGCATAGAGTTTTATGCATGGTTGAAAACCACCAATGATAACTGCCTGCTTTCCTAACACTCTTCCAAGTATCTTCTGATATGGGATTGGCTAGAACTAGCCAAAATAACGCTATTTGTTTCTCATGAGAAATTCTTTACAATTTGGTGCAGTTTTCTTATGCGATGTGCATTATGTGCCTCGTTTGAGTTTGTTTTTCTCTCTGTTTTCATTGGAAGTTATGCTTTCTGGCTTTCTTTCTTTGGATTTACTGCCGAAAGCCTGCCTTGTTGAAACTTGAAATGCGCCCAGGACTGATGGGAACAAATTCCTATTAGCCCTGTTTTCATGTTCTGGATGTGAATTGAAAATACTAGTTGCACTACTGATGATGTGTTTGGTCATGTTCATATCACTGGTCGTGACTACAGATTAAATGTTACTTTAGCTGTCTAGCTTTGGAGTTGTGTGTTTTACCTGAACCAACGTTCTTTCTTTCTTTCTTCCTCCCCCCTTTCTTGGCTTTTGCAACAACTATAATGAAAAGGCAAGAGTAAACAAAATGGAAAAGTTGGTTCTCCTGACTTGTATTCTTCTCAAGATTGTATTACTTGTATAGTTTATGACCGCAGAAGAGTTGATTTGAATGTTAAGTGGATGTACAAAAACATGTTTTTTCTTTTATCATTTTGATGCTCATGATCTAAACACATATTTTCAGGATTCAGAGATACTGGAACAGATAGACCGAGATGTAAAGCGAACGCATCCTGATATTTCATTTTTCTCATCAAAGTCTAACCAGGTTCGTATTCAGTGTTTACAGTGTTCTGGCTGATACCAATTATACCAATATGACTCGATTGTTTGTTCTTTTTTACCCTATCAGGAATCTCTGAGGAGGATTCTAATTATATTTTCAAAATTGAACCCCAGTATAAGATATGTGCAAGGGATGAATGAAGTTTTGGCACCTCTATTTTATGTATTCAAGAATGACCCTGACCCAAGCAGCTCAGTGAGTTGTTCTACCATTAATTATTTTTATTCCGTAGTTTTCCACAGGGTCCCTAGGTATTCTGACTTCCCTATCCCTCCCTCCCTAGATGGAGACCATAATTTTTATTAATCTGTTGGTTTTTATGTATAACTTCAGAACTTTTTTGTTGATTATTAACTTCAGATAGATGGCCATATTCATCAACAGGCTTACCAATTTTTGGAAATGCAGGCGTCAGCTGAAGCAGACACGTACTTTTGCTTTGTCGAATTGTTGAGCGGCTTTAGAGATAACTATTGCAAGCATCTTGACAGTAGCAGCGTGGGTATCCGATCTACACTTTCGAAATTATCACAACTATTGAAGCGGCATGATGAGGAACTATGGCGTCACATGGAGGTCACCACAAAGGTAGGCAATTTCAGTACTAGCTTTCTGGTATCAACTGTCAAATATGAGAATGATTTGCTCCAATTTTAGTACTAATTAAGCTTGTGTCATGCTGAGAAAGTGCACTTGTAACTGCATGTACTGGCTCAGGACCAACTGGGCCCATCAAATCGTGTGTTTAGGCCCGCAGCTGTTCACCTGCGTAAAGTGTACCGTGGGTACTGTAGCGCCTCCGTCGCTCAGGGCGCGAATCCTGGGTTAATGAAGTAGGGTACTGTAGAACCTACTTGGTCAGGAATTCTGGCTCTTGTTGATCTTGTTCGTTTCATCCCCGAACCGAGGGGATTTTCACTTGTAGGTGATTTAATCCCCCTCAATCCCCTCCAATCTGCCTGGTTTGGGGATGAAACGAACAAGGCCGTAATGGGAAGGGGTCCCTCTAGAATAGGGTAGGTTAGGATAGGGGTTACTTAGCAATCAAGTCAGAGTCTCCTCTCTATATGTTTACTTATATAGAGGGCCCCTGTACCCTTTGAGACTTAAGCTGTTATGACCGGCATCCAGTACTCCAGGCGAAGGCCCAGTAGTGGCTAGAGGAGGCCGGCGGGTTAGGGGGCTCAAGGCCCATATTTATCATATTTTACATAATATTAGAGTTATTTTCTATTATTATTATTCAGAGACATATAAATACCTGTAAACTCTATTGAGGAAAGTAAGCAGAAACAATTATTGTTTCCGGCTTCCTCAGGGAGCCGGGAGAGAACCCTAGCCACCCTCTCCCTTCGGCGAGATCACGGCGCCCGCCGTGGTCCATCGCGGTTTAAGCCTCGGCCCCCGATCACCCACCGCTACAACCTACGCTCGGTCAAAGGAGGAACCTCGGTTCCTATCAGCTTGGTACCAGAGATTTGCGGCATCGAGACGGATGAGGGCAACGGCAGCGGCGGAGGAGGATGATTGCGTCAGATCACCTCCGGGGCTGGCGCAAACTGGTACTCACGCCCTCGAAAGGTGATGAGGGCATGCCTTCTTGGGAGCGCTTGTCGAGCCGGTACGCAACGCCGGACCGCCCGATTCGCGGTACTTTCACCTGGCGGAGTTAGGGCGCTTGCCGCCCAATCTGGTCCAGAGTTCGCCACCGCTTTCAGGTGGTGTCCGCCATGCACGTATGGCGTCTCGGCCAAATGAAGGCCGATCTCTTCGTCGGGCCTTCCCGAGTACATTCGGGTGGATGTGGAGATGCGCGATCCCGGAGACATCCAGACGGCCATGTACTTGGCACGGGCTTTGAGCGTCGGCGGCGGCCATGCCAGCGGCCACACCGTGGGTGCCCGGCCCACCTCCTCCCGGCCGGCCTGCCCTGCGTGCCCGCCACCGGCCGGCGGGGCTCCGGCTCATCCGGTGGCTGGCCTTGGCGGTGGCGCCCTCCCGTCGCGTCGATTCCGCCGCCGCCACGCCGTGAGCAGCTTGAGCGCCGCCGCCAAAGGGTCAGTGCTTCAGCTGCGGCAAAGCCCTATGTCCGGGCCATGTGTGCCCCTATTGTTTTACCTCGAGTCTCACGGACTTTGTCGACGAGGCGGCGGGAGGTGCCTGCTGCGGCGAAGACGCGACCGCCTTTCCAGACGAGCCACGGCCAAGGTGTGGCGGTGATGCGTGAGAGACGCTAACGCCCTTGTCGTTTCTCTCCATCTCATTGCGAGAATCCGGCCGCCCAACGCCATGCCGCTCTCCGTCACCGTCAAAGATGAGAGTTTCCTCGCCTCCTCGACACCGGCTCCACTCATAATTTTGTCCGGGCGTGTTGCGCCGTTTGGGCTGTCTCTCCGGTGGGGTGACCACCTCCGTGTCACGAGCCGCCAATGGTGAGCACGCGTGGCGTGTGAGGGCATTGCTCGAACGCGTGCCCGTCGCGCATCGGCGACGAGGACTTCACCATCACGTGTGTTGGCCTCAACTCGGGCGCGCCGACTTCATCATCGGCCGACTTCATTCGCACATTGGGCCCCGTGGTTGGGATCGCGACGCTTACTTACCATGGCGTTACGGAGGGAGGCCGCCGCGTCACTGGCGGGCGTGCCGACCCTCGACGATCTCCCCACGGCCGGTGACCGCGGTCACGGCCCGACCCGCGGCTACCTCTCTGGATCGCGCTGTTGGCGCAAAGACGGTGACATCTTCGACGAGCCTCTGGGCTCCCTCCGCGCGCCTTACGACCACCGCGATCCACTGCTGCCGGGGCGGCCCGGATGGCGATGCGGCAACTGCACCGATACCGCAATTGCAGAAGGGCGACGAGCTCGAGCGCCAATGTGCGCGATGCTTGCCCAAGGATCATTCGCCGAGAAACGCCCGCCGTTCTCGCGCGCGTCTCTTTGATGCGCAAAGGCGGACAAGTCGTGGCGCTTTCATATCGACTACCGCTTCCTCAACGCCAAGACCTCCAAGGACAAATTCCCAATTCCGGTGGTTGACGAGTTGTTTTGGATGAGCTCCATGGGGCTCGTTCTTCACCAAGCTTAACCTTCGTTCGGCTATCATCAATTGCGCATGCACCGGAGGACATCGACAAGACGGCTTTCCGCACCCATCGGGCCACTTCAAGTTTCGGTGATTATTTGGGCTCTCAATGCCCGGCAACCTTCCGGTGCCGATGAATGACGTCCTTCGACTTACCTGCGGCGGTTTGTCTTTGGTATTTTTGATGATATATTAATTTATAGTCCATCATGGGCCGAGCACTTGCAAACATGTCAACATCGTCCTCCACGCGCCGGGTACACCACCTTCACTTGAAACGATCCAAGTGCTCGTTTGGCGATCGTCGCTGGCCTACCGGGCCACGTGATCTCGAGGGCGGCGTCGCCATGGACGCCGACAAGGTCGCCGCCGCGGGTGCGTGGCCCCCCGCTCCGCCTCGTGGCTGCGTGGTTTCCTCGGCCTCGCGGGCTACTACCGGAAATTCATTCAGGACTTGGCATCATCGCCGCCCACTCACGCGCTCTCTTGCGGCGGGACGCTGTTTTTGTGTGGGGACGGCGATGCCGGGCATTCGAGGCGCTCAAGCGGCGCTTTGACCACAGGACTGTTCTTGGATGCGAGACTTTACTAAGCCCTTCGTGGTCGATTGCGACGCGCGGGCGCAGGTTCAAGCGCCGTCCTCCACTGGTGCCGGGCCCCTCGCCTACTTCGGTGTCCTTCGCGGCCCGTCACATCAACTCGGCGGCCTATGGCGGGAGTTGATCGGCTTGGTTCAGCCGTTCGCCATTGGCGCCCATATTTGTGGGGGGCGCCACTTTTGGTTCATGACCGACCATTACGACTTGAAATTTTTGCTTGATCAGCGATTGTCTCTGATTCCGCGACATCAATGGATCGCAAGCTATTTGGTTTCGACTTCTCGGAGAGTACCGTCCGGGCCGCTTGAACATCGTGGCGACGCTCTCTCGCCGGGACTTGGTACATGGGGGCAGCCGTCACGGTGGCATGGCGGTAGCAGACCCTCCCGTGTCGGGACCATCCTTCGAGCTTCGGACGCCATCCGGCTGGCAACAAAGCCAGCGCGCCGACGCTTTGCAAGCTGGCCGCGCAGCTCAGCGGGGGGGAGGCGGCCCATATGGCGCTGGTTGACGGCCTTCGATCCATGGCTCTGCGGCTCACGTCGCCGGACCAAGGGGACTTGCGCGTCGACAAGTGCTCCTCTTAGCTCACTCGGTAGCCATGAGGGCACCGAAGACGCTACATCGACTCGCGCTGATTTCTACATCCCTCGTGATCGTGTGTTGGTGCGGGACTGGTGCGTTCTTGCACCACGTGCGGCCGCATAATAAGACGGAGAGCAGTTCAGCCCGCGGGCTTGCTGCAGCCCCTAGACGCCCCCACCCAAGTGTGGGCGGATATCTCATTGGACTTCATCGAGGGCTTGCCCAAGGTTGCGGGCAAGTCGGTCATCCTCACGGTGGTGACCGCTTCCGGCACGCCCACTTCATCGCGCTTAGCTCGTCCGTCGCTCATGCCTTCTTCGGCGGCATCGTTTCGCCTTCACGGGTTTCCATTGCCCATTGTGTCGATGACCGGACCCCGTGTTCACCGCACGCGTTTGGCGAGACATCTTCAAGATGGCGGGCGCCCGATTCTTGCGATGATGAGCACGCGACTTTCCATCCGCAAACGGATGGCGGTCCGAAAGTGGTGAACAAGGTCATCGCCATGTACCTCCGTTGTGTGACGGGGATCGCCTTCAGCGTGGGTGGATTGGCACGTCGTGGGCGAATATCGCTACAACACCTCCTTCCACACGGCTCTTCGCGCCACACCGTTTGAGGTCGCTTCACGGTCGCCTCCTCCTCCGCCATTCTTTGCCCTATTCACCGGTGCGGCTCGGACCGAGGCTGCAAATGCGCTTCTTCGCCCCGTGATGAGAGATCTCGCCGAGGTGCGCCAACGTCTTTTGCGGTGCTAGACTGTCCAAAAAATATTATGATGCCGGCCACCGCGACGCCGAGTTCGTGGTGGGCGATCGGGTGTGGCTGCGGCTGCTCAACCGCACAGCCCATGCACTCTCCGGGGCCAAGGGCAAACTCGGTCCTCGCTATGCCGGGCCGTCGCGCGTCTTGAGCGTCTTGGGGCGATAGCGTATCGTCTACAGCTGCCCGAGGGTGCCCGTCTTCATGATGTCTTCCATGGGATTGCTCAAGCGCCACCGCGGTGGCGCTTCCAAGAACGCCGGCCACTGGGCGCCGAATTTTGACGGCCGTTACTCTGCCCGGCTAAGGCGCTTACGTGTCAATGGCGGGCCGTGACACTGGCAGTGCTTGATCCGATGGGCATGGTTTTCGAGAAGAGGATGCGACATGGGAGTCCGTCGACGAGTTTCGCTCCTTCTACCCGACTTCCGGCTCGAGGACGAGCTGTTTTAGAAAGCGGGAGATGTTATGACCGGCATCCAAGACTCAAAGCGAAGGCCCGTGAGTGGCTAGAGGAGGTCAAGGGTTAGGGGCTCAAGGCCCATATTTATCATATTTTACATAATATTAGAGTTATTTTCTATTATTATTATTCAGAGACATATAAATACCTGTAAACTCTATTGAGGAAAGTAAGCAGAAACAATTATTGTTTCCGGCTTCCTCAGGGAGCCGGGAGAAACCCTAGCCGCCTTCTCTCTTCCGTGAACAGTACCGCGGCACTGTAGCGCCGCCACCCTCTCCCTTCGCGAGATCACGGCGCCCCGCCGTGGTCCATCGCGGTTTAAGCCTCGGCCCCCGATCACCCACCGCTACAACCTACGCTCGGTCAAAGGAGGAACCTCGGTTCCTATCATAAGCAGAACTAGATCAAGGGCCTGTCCATCTCTCTGCTCCTGGGCACCAGCCTCTAGGCTGCTGCTCCCTACGCTAAAGCTTCCCTAGGGTGTTGGTCACCCCCTGGCCATGTTTCTGCCTCTCCTCCCTCAGTACTCCCTTGAATCTGCCCTCCAATCTTTGGTAATCTATGCATGTAATATTGCATCAAGAAAATTCTGTTATCCTGATGTTTTCATCGATAGCTGAAACTAGACTTCTCATTAGTCATTATCAATGTCACCAGGTCTTATCCATTCAGCAGCAATAGCATAAACTGAATGTTGAGATAAAAGTGTGTATATGGTTTATATCAAGACTGAATAAATGGTACATTTATGTGTACAATCCATCATAGAGATACCTGATATTCCAGATTTAAATTACTGGCAAAATTGCCTCCATGCACAGTGTAATGATGTCAGCAGATCGAATAGCCTTCATAACAGCATACCTATATTATTTAGTCTATAGATGCTTGATCTATTTCCTTGTTTGCTTAATTACTTAGGATGTGCAGTCTACATATCACAACGGTACATAGTAGAGTAGCCACCTGTAGAATACTCTGCTGTTTAGCAAATGGTGTAAAAAGAAAAGGAAAAAAAACTAGACCAACCAAGGAGGAACTAGGTAGCATTTTATTAAGAAGAAAATAGGCACCGAAATTAGCCTCGATGAGAACTTGAACCTGGGTGGTCTTGGGCATACATCAACACCCTCAACCAACTAAGCTAGCTCAGCTTCCTGTTTAGCAACTGGTGGGAACAGAGATTCTCACATGCATGGCAACCAACAAAGCACAAGCATACCTGACATGTTTTCTGTTTTATTTATACAGGTTTACCCACAATATTATGCGTTTAGATGGATCACACTGTTGTTGACAATGGAGTTCAGCTTTAATGTGTGTATACATATCTGGGATGCTATCTTGGGTGATCCAGAAGGCCCATCGGTACATCACCACCACTGAAATAATTTTTGCACATCTTCCCAGTAGTGTACTATGCTAAACTGTTGCATGTTCTCATGCAGGACACATTAATGAGGATATGCTGTGCCATGCTCATCCTAGTCCGGAAGCGCCTCTTAGCTGGAGACTTCACCGCCAATATCCAGCTGCTGCAACATTACCCAGCCACCAACATCGATCACCTCCTCCACATCGCCAACCGGTTGAGAGGGACCGTAGCCGGCTAGTGATTTGTTGCCTTTCCTGCATATACCTGTACTTCAGTTTTGCTCATGTGACCTTCGTCCGATTTAATCGCCTGTTTTGGTGTGGCTAGTCAGAATGTGGATGAATATCAGGTGCGACACTGGATATGTCAGAGCTCTGAGTAGTGCTTCTGTTTTCATTCGCATGGAGAACAGTCCTGGTGTTCCTCCCAGCTTGCAGTACCCGGGAAACGGAGGAATGGATGTATTCCTATATTGTGAAAACTGAAGATGGGTTCTGCTGGATACGCTCCTCTGTACCAAAAAAGGAGTGCTATCTTTTGTAGTGTATTCTTTTAATGTTCTAAGAATTAGAATATGTAGAAAAACTTGAGCAAGGATTGAAAATAGGAATGCCTGTTCTAAGGTTATTTTGTCTTGATGAAATATGCTCGTGGCTTCGACAATTTATTTGTGTTTGAGTATTATGGCGATGGTGGCCACTGAAAGAATCACAAGATGAGCAGCGAAAGCTGGAAGGTGAGCCATCTTTCAAGGGAAGGTAGCTAGGGCTGTACTGTAGCTAATTTTGTGGAAGGACCATACCTTCTTTTGAAGCTACTGGGTATTGGCCAGTCCGTGCTACGGCCATATAAAATTTGAATGAAATTCATATATTGCGGAACACCTAATAACAGATTACAGTGGAAACAATGACAACAAGAAACAGGGAGTAAAGAAGTTTGAAATAAGGGATAAAGGTGTGCAAATTGAGAAGTGTATTGACCAGCATCGGAACAATTTGCCCAGAACGGCATGGCAACACCTTAGTTTCTCCACAGGTATACATGAGTTCCGACTTACGAAGCGCAAATTAAGAAGCGACATCATCCATTCAGAGAAGACGGTAACAAATAATTTTTCCAGCAGAATCCTAGAGAATCTCGGCCATTTGGACCGAGATAGCACAAAAGTACATCACCATTTCCGCATTCAGCGCCGGTAGATGCTGCAGCCTCCACGGCGGAGACCAGTTGCTGCGTGTTTGTCAGTCCTCCACGACACAGTCCAATGTGTAGTCCCTGCCTAGGCTGAGTTTGGAATCAAGAAACTAAACCCAGCTCAAAGTAGTAGGAAAAATCCTTATGAAGAACATTAAGCAAATGATACATAGGAATACTAACCTTTGGATTGCGTCATTGCTGCATAGAGGGCACGCAACAATTTGTCGTTGGGAGGATCGACGATCAAAAGTCAGATTGGCACACATTTTGCATCCACATATATGTGGAGGATCCGGCGTTCCCCACACCAGGGCTCGGCTTCCAATGCCAGATTTTAGTATTTCACCCTTCACCACCTCCAGCGTCAGCGGATGGAGCCAAGTTGCCTGTCTCACGCGAAGCCTACATCGCGGTTGGAACGAGATCCTCTGCAGTCATGGCAGCGACTGCTCTCTACAGTTAGGCCGGCATCCGACCGTTCACTGAGATCCAACGGCATCCGGCTCCCACCAGGCTTCTTTTGCGCCAGAGTCATCGAAGCACTGGGCCTTGGCCCAACAAGCATAGAGTTGTTGCTGGCGTTTTTGGCGCGAGGTCCGCATGCTCTTCGGTTTCTGGCGTGAGGGTAAGCCTTGAGCGGCGATTTTCTTGAGTCCGGTGGTCACTGCAAAGAGAGATTCAGGAAGGATAATTTAGCCGTCTTCCAAATTCCGAGTGCCAGTACAGGCATCTCCTCTAGCTCGGCCTCGTCGACCGGCACCACCTTCCTGTCGTCGGCCTTCGGCGGTGGTGCCAAGATGGTGACAAGCCAGAGACGAGCAACGGCGGCGACGATAAACAATCCAGCCTCCAACTGAGGTGAAGCGTGCAGCGAGCGTGGTGGCCAGCGCGGGCCCGGCATTACGCCGTTGCTGTCCTCGTCGTCATGTAGCTCACTGTCACAAACCCGTGGTTCTGTCTGTGCAGGAATTGGAGTAGAATTGGAGTCACAAGCTAGTTTCAGGAAGAACAGAGCATATAGGATTGAAGTTTTAGTTATTCATCTTGCACAGCTCATATGAATGCTTCACATTTTTGTGTAGTTTCAGGAAGAAACAATTTGAACAAATTCCAAGCATTTGTGCTTCCTGTCTAATTTCCTATACAAACAGCCATCGGAGGAAGTGCAGCTTTCCTGCACAAACATATTTCACCACATATGCAGCTTTCCTGCACAGCCACCTGGAGCTCGATCATCAGGGACTACACCTGGAGGTGTGCGTATCTCATCACCGAGCGGGGACCGAACATGGCATGGAGGGCAGGCGCGCTGCCAGCATCCACGAGACCAGCAGGCTACGCGAGGAACGCCCCTACGAGGCTGCGGCTACGACAGCGTATGAGCGCCAAGGCAACATGAAGGGGAGGAAGCTAGATTCACGGGCTCGGGCTCGCATGAGGGATTTAGCTCGGGGACGCGTGACAACAGCCGTGGTGAAAGAACGAGTGACCGAGCAAGATACACAAGACGCCAGCGGCGGCGAAGAAGACAGCGTGCTCAAGCGTCGCTCGTGGGCTTTAGATGGGCTGCTGGACTGCCTGTGTGGTAACTGGCTAATATGGTCCTTCGGATGGCAGCCAACGGCACAGATACGCCAACTGCAGACTGCAGTCGATGAGGCCGACTGCAGGGGATCTCATTCCCAGAACCATGCCTTACCTCATGTCGTGCACATGAGCTGTCAGTCGTCGCTTGTGCATCTCTTGCCTCCCGCAGCAGCTCCTACACAAGCTCAAATGCTCGTGCCACTCTCCCCTCCCAGTCCCCACGATGCGAGAGAAAATCGATGGGTGGTCCGTACTGCGGTGGAGCACACTAAGGCGTTGATACATTTGTATCTACCTTAGTCCACATGTGTTAAAGTGGAATAGAATAGAATTTAGTTTAACTAGATGATATCCCGCGCGTTGCTGCAGGAATTTTATAGATATTTTAGTAGGAAAATCCACGGAGTAAGAAATATAGGGCTTTGTGTAAGAAATCGTGTTATAGATATAGTTGTGCCATCTTTCTAAACTTGTAGGACAACATACACTGCGTTCGGCTAGTATAGTTCCAGCTTATTCTCTCTCACATAGTACTATTCAATCATCCAAAACCATCCAAAAACACTGTAGCGCAGACTATCCGAACGAGCTGATAAAAAATGATTATTTAGAGAACTTTTGAGGATTACCTCAAAAAGTATCGTCCGTGCACAAACCATGGTTGTACTTATGCCTCAAAACTACTAATTAGTAGGTTACATCAAAAGATGTTAAAATCGAAGTTGTTTTGTACTGACGCTTGAAATGAAAAATTAGAAATAAGGAAATCAAGAGGACATATGTGAACTGTTCACCTTCCCGTATGCACTTATCAACTACTCCTTCTGCCCTGTAATATAGTGCATTTTAGAAATTTTAAGACAAATTAAGGGAGAACATAAAAGACACATGTACCCTCATTTTATTTCTTAATCAGACGTTGTCATCAACATGATTAATGGTGATTGGTTGATAAATGGAAAGTATTTAATGCAAAACTAGTTTTTATCCTTTAGAATGCATTATATTTGAGGACAAATTTTAAATGCTAAAATACATTGTATTACAGGAACGGGGGAGAACGACGTAAGATATCTGGTGAACGGATCAAAGATCTTTAGAGTTATTGTGCAATTAAAACTGCTGAGAGATTCATTCGATAAATAAAGTTGTCCAGCTCCACACAACTAAAGATGGACCTTCAATAGGAGTAGTAGGGTACAGAACCTGCGCTGCCACGCCCACACAACACTTCCAAATAAAAAGGCGCTGGCACACTGTTGATCTATTGGAGAAGCACAGCATGAACCGATGAGGCACTGATTCTTGCTGCAGATTGAACTGCATGTCGGAAGTCATGGTTGTGCCCAAATGAACACGAATTCAGATGCAGATGAGCCTTCAGGCACCGGATCTTAGCAGGGACTCTCTAGCCCTAGGAACTAATCTACCACATGTGTTGTAGCTGTGCTCCGGCCTCCGGCTCATGCACCAGCATAACCACACACCGGCTGTCTAGCTCCCAGACACCATGGCATTGCCGCACCTGCATCGCACCACCTCCAGGCCACCATGCACCTCCAGACGCGTCCCACCCGCAGGACTGTCCCAGTCGCTCGTCGCTTCCGACTACCGTTCCCTTTTAGAGCCAAGAGCTTTCGATGAAGCAGAATACTCCCTCCGTCCGGCGTTTTGGCATTCCAAATTTGTCTCATAAAGATGGTCGTTTTAGACCATGGGACCCACCCCAAGAGGGATGCAGGCCTACACCTCGTCACATAGGTCCCAAAGCCCATCCGCTGACCCGCATCGCTGCCCCCATCCCACCATCCACCGCCGCACCCATCCCACCAGCCGCCGCCACACCCGTCTTCCTCTTCTCGCACGGGAGGCGCCCCACCCTCTTCTCTTCTGCACGTGGTGCCTGTAGTCTCAAGCTCACCGGCGACCCTCGCCGGAGCTGGAGAAGACTCCCAAGGATCGAACACGATCTCACAGAGAACACACGCGAACTCAGTGGAACACAAGCAAATTGGTGCCGCTAACAACCGCAGCTTTTCTGACTCTATATTGCTGAATATAAAGAACTAGATTACAACGACCAGTGGCCACGCACCGCACACCGCACGACCTCCTACTTGCTCGCGCCATCCCACGAACGAACTCACGCCGTGCATGGTCACCACTACATGCGAGAAAGAAGAGCGAAAGAAACGGACAACCAGCATGCGTCTGGCTTACATTGACGCGCCCAGATTAGCTAAGTCTAGGCCCTGATTATTAGCATGCAAAGAATAGACAAGGAACACAATAGCCGAGCCAGGATTATCCAACAATCTCCCCCTAAGACTTGCTCGGCTTACTTGATGATGACGACGCCAATCTTGCTGCGCAGCTCAGCGAACCTTGCTCGCGCCAGTGACTTCGTCAGGACGTCTGCGAGCTGTTCCTCAGTGCTTACATGGTCCACGT